TTATTAATTATCATTGTACAAACAACATATTTTTTTATCACTTTGAAAATTTGAGCTAGATAAACAGCATTTGCGTGAAGTATTACTTTATTATATTAAATGTGCAAATAGTTAAAGTGCATAGAGATATTGTGTGTGCTTATGATTATTACGTATCCAAAAGGTACGGTTGAACGTGTACAAATGCACACAATAATGTCACCGAAAATTAATTTACGAACCAAAGGAGCAGCAGCCCATTTATTAGCAACGTCACACAATAATGAAATATAAATGTCTTTTTATAGTCATAGTTCGCTCTACCAATTTAAATAGCACCAAAAATGAATACACTTACAACATAGCACAATTGCACAATTGTAATCAGTAAAACTAGTACGTTAAATTAACAGTATAAGGAGTTGGTAAGGTCGAGGTAAGATATGTCGAAACGTCGTAAGAACAAACCAAAAGGAAGGAAACCACACAAAAGATGCGTAACCGGTCAAAGAGATCGTCGGAACGAAAACGAAAGCAATATACGTGCTTCATATTCGGCGGCGGCGGCCTTATCTCGGTGTCAAGGTCGGAGAGACATCCGATGACACCCGATTGTCATATTAATAGCTTCCGGTGCCGTGTCATGGTGATCATGCTCTAGGTATTTCAGCTTGTTAACGTTTTATAAGTGATAATTTTGATGTGAATGGCAAAAGCGTCAACCAAAAAAGTTTGAAGATGCAAATTCGCAACTATTATTGGATGAATACTCAACTTTAATTGAAAAACAAATGACAATTGAACAAAAAAAATGGGTGCCGTATCGATTGAAAGAAAGAGACATCGAAAAACGAAAAACCATTTGCGAACTTTTGCTTGATCGGTTCAAAAGAAAATCTTTTTTACATCGAATATATATATGAGTAGAAAAAATGATACTGAGTTGCAATAACAAATTAACTATATATCTGTTCATTTATTACAAACAGTATTGAGAACATATATACAATATCTCCTTTTTTTCATATACAAAATATATAAAATAAATAATATTAAAATTAAAAAAATACTGAAACATATATAGATGGAATATATTATAAATTATCGAAATGTATAAAATAGACAAAATGATCTAAACGATTTAGAGGTTTAATTACTCTTTTCCGTACAAAAGGAGTAAAATTATTTGGTGAATCATTTTCTTAACCATCATTACCGTATGTTCTTAGGTGTTTCTATATTACTTTTCTTTCCCTACCTGCTGAATCTATAGGTATATATGATCTAGGTATATGCCATTTTTTAACAGTTTTACTTATTTTTTTGATCCCTATAATCTATTATTTGTTCGGGAATTACACTTTTTTCCCTGTTTTATCATAGTAACTTTTAATATTAATCATTTTGTCAGTCCGGTAAGAATGAAAATCATCAATTTGTGGTTTTAGTTTTAAATTAAAATTGGTATTTTTGTACTAAGAGGCCTAGTCATAAGCAAATTAGCTGTAAAGAACAATGAGTTAATTATTGGTTAATTTCATAGTAACATAATTTATAATTCAAACCTCACTATCAGTAGATTTTTAAGAATACTTTTGCCTATACCCACTAATTTTTTTTAGGTAGATTATTAGTTTTGAGATCTCTAAGTCTAGAAGTTTATAATTGAAAGTTCTATTGAATGTTTGTAGGTCAGGAATATACTGTGTTAACGTACGTTTTTTTTTGTGTTTTCAAGTCTATACTTCTCATATACTATCGTAACTCAAAACTAATTCAAAAAATTAATTTTAGAAAAAAGAAAGGTGGTTGACAAAAAGTGGGAGTTACTTCTATTTAGG